AGATTATTTGCATCATCCCGATCATGTCGATTTCTAATTCAACGAACAAACTTATTCCTCCTCATTAATACTAAAACAAATGCAACCACTATCTCTGAAACTTGATTGGATCATTCCGTTACTGACAACGAGATTCATATAAATGGATACAATCTCTTCAGAAAAGATCGCAATCGCGAAGGTGGCGGAGTGTGTATATACACACACATCAACAGAGCTGTCACACGACGCGAGGACTTGGAAGTCGATGACATGGAAACAGTGTGGGTTGACGTTCTCTTACCGAAATCAAAACCTATTACAGTAGGCACATGCTATCGACCCCCGAAAAGCAACCCAAAATTATTTATTGAACATTTAGAAAACTCGACTAATAATTGGTATGTTCTACAAATGAACTAATCATTCTTGGTGATATGAACATTAACACTATGAAAGACAGCTATCTTACACGATTTTATAAATCTTTTATTTCTAACAATGGTCTGTTATCAATTATCAATGAGGTGACTAGAATTTCTAAAAATTCTATATCTTGCATAGACCATATTTTATGCAATAGTAATTTTAAAGTTAGACAATCAGGTATATTTCAAATCAGAATTAGTGACCACTTTATGGTATATTGTATAAGGAAAAAAGCTGTAGAGTCTATCAATTTCCATAACACAGTACATATTAGATCTTAGAAAAAATACGATATTAAGTAAGTAAGCTACAAGACATTGATTGGTCCTCCAGAATATATAACTGTTGTGACGTTAACATCGCATGGTCTAATTTAAAAAAAATTCTTATTGATATTGTCGATACTATAGCACCTCAGGAGCAAATAAGACTAAAACATAAATCACAGTCTTGGTTAAATTCTGATATTTTAATGAACATCAAATTAAGAGATACTTTACTAAAAAAAATATAAAGAAGATAGATCAAATCGCTCAATTCGGCGTGCATACTGTACTGCTAGAAACAAGGTTCAACGTATGATTAAGTCTGCCAAATCAAAGTACTTTTTAAACAAAATAGAACAAAGCAAAAATAATCCAAAGAAACTTTGGAGTAATTTGAAAAACCTTGGATATGAAAATAAAACTAAAATAAAATCTAAAGTTGTTCTCGATATACAAGGCGAGAAGGTTTTTTTCCCTAAGAAAATCGCTAATTATTTCAATGTTTTTTTCACCAACATAGCTTCTAGCCTTGTCAGTAAGCCACCCAAATGTAATAACGTATTTGGTTCCAAATCGATAGCTTTTAGACGTCTCTATAGTTTAATTTCAAAAAACAGGTTTAAATGAAGCCATGTTTCTGAAGAATTTATTAGAAAACAGATTAATGCACTTGATCATAACAAGAGCACGGGTCTTGACAATATCCCGACAAGATTCCTTAAGGATGGAGTAGACGTACTGGTAGGTCCCATTACTCATATTATTAATCTCTCCATAACCACCAATACTGTTCCAGACAACTTGAAACTTGCAAAGATCTCACCACTTTTTAAAAAGGGAAACAGCACTAATCCGGAAAACTATCGAGCAATCAGTATCCTCTCCTCCATCTCCAAAATTCTTGAACGGGCTATTGCCACCCAACTTGAAAAATACCTTGCCGATAACAATATTTTATTCAAATTTCAGTCTGGTTTTAGACAGGCCCACTCTACAGAGACATGCCTGATCAATCTAATCGACGACCTGAAATCCAACATCACTAATGGCCTTTACACTGGATGATCCTGATTGATCTACAAAAGGCCTTCGATACTGTCGACCACGAAATCCTTCTCGAAAAACTCGACTGTATGGGAATTGACTGTGTCAAATGGTTCAGGTCGTATCTATCCGATAGATCTCAGGTAGTCTCTCTGGAGGGCGCTTTTAGTGAACAACGTTTCATTACATACGGCGTGCCTCAAGGAAGTATCCTTGGACCGCTTTTGTTCTTATGCTTCATTTATGATATGGAAATTTGTATTGATAATGACTGTAAACTGTTGCTATACGCAGACGACAGTGCTATTTTATACGCCCACCATGACCCTGATTATATTACAAGAAAACTGAGCAAGGTCCTTGACCAATGCCAACAATGGCTAATCAACAACAAATTATCAATAAATACTAAAAAAACTGAATTTATTATTTTTGCCTCTAAAACGAAACTAAAAAAAGTTAATTCATTCCAATTTTCGATAAATGGCTTCACTGTTAAAGGAAGTAATTATGTTAAATATCTAGGGGTTAATATTGATAATGCAGTTAGCTGTATCTTAATTGCAAATGATATTATTAAAAAAGTCAACTCGCGACTTTCTTTTCTTTACAGACAGAAAGCCTGTCTCAATTTCAAATGTCGTAAACTGTTAACTTCTGCCCCAATTTCTTGGCTTTTTGACTATTCTGCGTGTGCTTGGTACAGTAGTATAAGTAACTCTCTTAAACTAAGACTCCAGACTACGCAAAATAAAGTTGCCTGATTTGTTTTAAATTTTGGCTCAAGGTCCCATATTGGTCATCAAGAGCTTGCCAGTCTGGGATACCTGAATATTACATCCCGTGTCAAATATCTTAAACTCAATCATATTCATAACATCTACCACAACAAATTTCCAGATTATATGTACCTAAATTTTACCCCAATCTCAAGTCAACACCGATACAACACCAGAAACAGGATATATAACTTTGTTGTTCCAAAAACAAAAGGTGCTAATCACACTTCATTTTTTGCAACTGGTATCCGAGACTGGAATGCTCTACCCAATTATCTTAAAGAAATTACTGACCACAGGATGTTTAAGAGAAAGCTTAAATAATTTTTACTTACTGATTTTTAATGTTTCATGTTTTTATCCTTTACTACATGCAGTTTTTATATTTACTCAATTAGTAATCTTAATATTCAATTTTAACTTTTACAATTTTTTTATTTTAAATTGGCCTATGTTTACCTATTTTATATATTTTAATATATATTCTAAACCTTGCCAGATCACTATCTGTAAATATTCGCTCTTGTGCAATAATTACCCTGGCTTCTGGACCCCATTGGAAATAAGTCTGGTGTACAATCACTAGACTTAATGGGTCATCCAGGCATTCAATTAATTATTTATCTCCTTTTTTATTTTCGTTCTCAAAATGTTATTGTTATGTGTGTGATATTGAATGCAAAATAAATCAAATCAAATCAAAAATCTGGTGCACTTATTAAAGTAGTTTGGAATATTGCACAGTACAATAATACATTATTGTGAAGTATGTCATATTTAAATAATAATTAAGTACTGGTGTACTAATTAAAGCACGGTAGTTCATAATATTCTACATTCCAATATTAGGCCTACATGCTTGTTTACAAGACATATTTTAAAACTAATGATGTACGGGTGTATTAATTAAAGTATTTCGTAAAATTTTACAGTGTTCTTGAAAAACAACAAAAGCATTTTTTTTTATTCCATAATCTCAAAAATCTATATTCAATGGTAGAAATAACTTGGAAATTAGCTGTCCTACATCTTTTTAAAACTTGTTACAGTTGTTCCATGTGTGAATTGGGTATTGAAGAAATTAATATTGCAATACTGTACATATGCAATATATCAATAATATCTAATATAGCTTTAATAATAATAATAATAATAATAATATTAATAATTATTATTATTTCGTAAAATTTTACAGTGTTCTTGGGCAACAAAAGCATTTTTTTTTTAAATTTTATTCCATAATCTCAAAAATCTATATTCAATGGTAGAAATAACTTGGAAATTAGCTGTTCTACATCTTTTTAAAACTTGTTACAATTGTTCCATGTGTGAATTGGGTATTGAAGAAATTAATATTGCAATAATGTACATATGCAATATATCAATAACAGGTTGTCGACCCATGAAGCATCATCAGTATTTAGAGGTTGATTAACTTGCGTGTTTACCTACAAAGGGAGGTAAACAAAATGTGGTAAATTTTTATAATATTTATATATAAGGGAAAAATAAATTCAAAATTGACTTGGTTTATAATTTCCTCCACCTGGGTTAAATAAAAAATTATATATACACCATTTGAGACATAACATATAACATAACATAAATAAGTATTCATATTCATATATATTTATTTATATAGCGCCTTTCTTTGCAGATACGAAGCGCTTCTGTCCATGGTCATTGGATCCACATGTTTAAGTGTTGCTGCTGTATTCAGCGCAGGAGCAAGCAACCCCACCAGGTACCCATTTATACTCATGGGTGGAGAGAAGCAATGCACATAAAGTGTCTTGCTCAAGGACACAAGCGAAATGCACAGCGATGGATTGAAACCCCGACCTCGAGGTTGGGAAACCAAAGCTTTCGCGCTGCGCCAAACCGCTTCCACATTATTTTATTATTATTATTATTATTTTTATTATTATTTTTATTTTTATTTTTATTATTATTATTATTATTATTATTAATAGCTGGATATGTTAATTTTGTATGTACTGGTTTTGTTTTTCTTGGGATGCACCGTTACGTACGAGTGCCATTGTTGTAAAAGTGTCGTTTTCAAACAAGAAATAATTTAAGAAATATAGTTGATTTTGAAAGTGCTACGATTTAAGGTGATTGGGCCGAACGAATAAAAGACTTGTACGTAATGTTAGATAGGTCGAATGAAAACAAACAAAAATGCGCCTGCAAAGGCAGTCATGGACGTTCTATAGAGATGTGAGGAATAACTTTAGGCTATTGTGTATGAAAAGTGTAATAAATATCCTTGAATCACAATTTGAAACCATTCAGGCAAATTTATTTTGTATGAGTCATTACATTAACAGTCCCAAATTAGCATGACAATATCGATAGAATTTTGTAGGCCTATATGAACCTAAGCTTGTGCGTAATCTTAGTCCAGAAGAAAGCTTATTTCAAGTATTGGTATTGCTGAATCTGGAGCCTCGTTAGGAGTGTCTTGGTGTGTCTATATTGGTGTTTTGTCGACGGTGTGTAGCAATGAATACGACTTATATAGATTCAGAATTCTGGAAAAATAATTATACTAATTGCAATGACTGTAGTTGTTGTTTGAGAGCTAGTGGTGTTGGTGCAATCATCATCGTTGGATCCATATTCCTGGCGTGTATCGTTTGCTCACTAATTGGTTAGTAAAGTAATGGTTTAAAAAATTCTTTCCGTTTTGGATCCTATGCTATTGTACGTCATACGTAGATAGACAGTATACATTTAATAATAGCATGTAGGGGATTTTTTTTTAATTACTTTGCAAATAGGCCTGTGAAGGGTGTAGAACCGTTTCGGCCGCGATTTGACCGCAAGTGTGGAACACTTTTGGAATTGTATATTTTCGGTCAATTTGTTTCAGTTAATAAATATGCTAATACTGATAACTATAATATAATAAATGTGCGTATTAAAAGTACTAAAACGACTGTGACCAACGGAATCCTAGGCCAGGCATATTAGACAAGAAACTACCGTAATTATAAGTTTAATAAACGTAAAAATTCTCAATGGTAACTTGATATGATATGCCTACTTATTTGTAAAGTAAGGATAGTAAATTATTAAAGCCGCAACGAATCACACTTAATTTCCGGAAATTCTGGATGTTAAAACGCGGCCGAACTGGTTCACGGCCGAAAAAAATGGCATTCCTGTGTGAAGAACCGTCAAAGCTTTTATCGAGTTGGTAGAGTGAACTTTCCCGATCGTATAAGGTCTCCCCGACCCGGTCCTAATCCACCCCACCCACGCCACTTGCGTATGATTCCGATAAAGTCTAGGTGCCGAAAAAATATAGCAATCCTTTTTTTTCTAAAACACTCATTAGATCCTTTAAAACGAAACGCATTTTTAAGCGCAGCAACACCACAATCAGAATCTAAGGGATGTGAAGAACAGTGCCACAGTTCTCAACCAAAATCAATCAATCAAAAGCATATATTATTATAT